AAACGCCAAGCGTCTGTTGTTGACGCATTGTTTAGATGGGTGGTCAGTGAGGTTTGTCCTTGAGCAAGAAACGATAGCCCTAGCTCAAAAACGGGGGTTCGGTGGGTAGTGGGCGTTCTAACGTAGCTTGTTCCTTCTTCTCTATAAAACACCTATGGTCCATTATCTAGTGCGCTCATCTCCGAAGCGAAAAGTCCGGGCTCGAGCCTCGGTTCGGACATGGATTTTTTTTCGCCCCCTCCTGCCCACCCAGCAGTAATTGGTACCGGACTTCGAGTTGGGGAAGTAAAGATGACGTGGAAAGGAACTGGCCGCCCTACCACAATATGCCGAAGGCCCGGAAAGTTGTCTCACTAACAAGGCAATCCTCAATGTCCGGGTTGGATGGGAAAACAATTTTACTTTTTACTTTTACTATCTAGTAACACCTCTAATCTTCGGCACTCATACGACCTAATTGTGTTTCAAGTGCCACAAAACTCGTACTAAAAACAGGGGGCCGCACAGTGGCCACAAGCAATGGCATGTTTACTCTCTGTATTAGTGTGGTATTGTTAAATAAAACAAAGTAATTTCGTTGTATTGTTATATGTACATGTATTTCTCTACCTGTATAAACGCTTTTGTAGACCAAACCTCCTCAAGAGTATCAATACCAATGAAATGTATTTTATTTTTATTTATATAGTGGTACTGGAAAGATTCCTTTCTAGAATCACCCACAAGTCGATGCCAGATCTGAGACAGACATCGATGATCAAGGCTCGTCATTCAAATCTTCGTTCAAGTGCTTTAAAAAAACAATAACTAAATTACCCTGGCCATCAAGAATACAATATATCTCGATAGGAATCGATTCATTCAAGTATTTCATTTATGTTTCATTTATTGCCCCTCGTGTGGAAGCCAATGACGTGAGTGGTTTGATTGTTGGGAAGGGACGGATAAGACAATATAATAATATGTGGTTGAGATAAGTATATTGCGTGTGTGTGTGTGTGTGTGTGAGTGTGTGTGTGTGAGTGTGTGTGTGTGTGTGTGTGTGTGTGTGTGTGTGTGTGTGTGAGTGTGTGTGTGTGTGCATTTGCTCTTCGTAGACCGATGAACAGCTGTAGCCGATTAGCGCGCAAAAGGGCACTATTCCTATTATTCTTGTGGAGAAACGAAAGAGAGCTTCAAAACTCAAAACAAAGACTGAAGAAAAGCGGGTGCGGCGACGGACGGCTTTTTCAGTCGAGTGAACTATCTTGTAGTGTACGGTCCTTGACTAAAGCATACATGTGCGCCGTATTTTAAACTATCAGGTTGAATTGATAACTCAGTTTCGTCCTAAAACTGAGGGAATATATTGCTATCTTTTAAAATACAACTCCAGAGGAATAGACCAAAAACAATTCATTTGTAGAGAATCTGAAAATATAGCTAACAGGGGAGGACCAGCATCAGAAAAGGGGTTTTAATAATAATAATAGATAGCATTTGTATAGCGCATATCCCCGCTCAGCAGCAGGCTCTATGCGCTTTACACTACATTATTACCCCAGCAGACCATAGAACACTCCGAAACATTCTCAGCTTCCCGGGAAGCATACGGTTTTCTTTTTATTCGCTCTCCAGATCTGGCACTTGATGGTAATGATAATGATGTTCTTTTGACCTGTCATTAAAAGCAAGGTTTACAATCAAACCATTTGCACAATCCATAATAATAATATGGATTTGTGAATACCCCTCCCCCTCTCACCCCCCTCTCTCTCTCTCTCTCTCTCTCTCTCTCTCTCTCTCTCTCTCTCTCTCTCGCTCTCTCTCTCTCTCTCTCTCTCTCTCTCTCTCTCTCTATCTGTTACTCTCCCTGTGTTAGGACTTACAGTATTCATTTTCATAGTTTTGCTCATTATAATCGTGAATGAGGGAAAATTCTGACTTTGATCATACCCCCAAATGTATTCAACGTGTACATTCTCCCAGGCCGAAAAGTTCATGTCCAAAGCAAAGCTTTCCATAACAGAAAGAACAAGACTACAAAAGTGTTTTTTCAAGGCATTTGCTTTTTCCTGATGAACTCGAAACTAGTTATAAGATTCAGATGACAACTCCGTGAGAAGTAAACGTGGGTCGATGTTGAGATTTAGAAAGAAACACAAATGAATCCAAAGTTTGATGTGTGATATTCTCAAGCAGAAAAAATACCAAAATAGCTGATATTCACCTTGCGCTGCACATTTCCCAAATTGGTCTGTAACGGAGAAAAAAAATGGTACACACTATTTTTCTCATGTGTGGACCATTAGTTCACAACAGACTGATATTTTCTTTTCTTTAATAAAGCGTGGCCTAAATATGCCCATGGACCATTTTGATAATAACTGACTTTATAATTATAATAATATGCTCTCAGTAAAGAGGTTTAGAAGCGTAAAGAAAAAGTTGAGTCATCCATGGACTCAATGCCCCTCCCCCCCCCCCCCCACCCACAATTTGGGAATACAAATGAGTCTCCATGACGTCAAGCGTTACAGACTGTATTAACTTTTTTTTTCAAGATGGAGTTGGGGATGCCGGGGAGGGGGGGACTTTTTGTCAAAATAAGACAAGAGCAACGTGTTTACGTATCTGAACTACTTGTAAGTTTGCAGGAAACACATCCCACTTGTACCTGATGGTTTCACGACATTCTCTTGACTACCATTTCCGAGTTCTTGCCTTTTTTTAGGAGAGTGGGGGAGGGGGGGGGGTCAGTTTCTGGTTTCGACAGGCGTCCCCGAGTCTGGAATGTTACTCCAAAAACACTCTTGGGCTTTCTGACTACCACAATGTCCTGTTTCTACCTCCGGGGTTACCTCCTTGCGCACTCCGCCCTGGACTTACTACACTGGCAGTAAACAAAAAGGTCGAAAAAAAAACTACTTCTCCGACCTAGTTACTAGATAACCCCAGCCACCGCTGGGTCAAGTGGCGGAAATGTACTCTTTTCACACCTCGCTCGGACTTCCAGGTATTCTGGACGGGCGGGGAGCAGGTACATACCTCTCGTGAGGAGACGGTGATGAGATAACGCAAGTTGGAAAGGGACGGGGTAAGAGAGAGAGAGAGAGATAGAGAGAGAGAGAGAGAGAGAGAGAGAGAGAGAGAGAGAGAGAGAGAGAGAGAGAGAGAGAGAGAGAGAGAGAGAGAGAGAGAGAGAGAGAGAGAGGGGGGGGGAGAAAAAAATAGACCTAGAAATGAGTCAAGGAGTGAAAAAAAAAGACAAGATATGAACCGCACAGTGGAAAAAATGTTGTAGTTTTTGCTGTTGTTGTTGCTGTTCATGTTGTTGTTGTTGTTGTTGTTGTTGTTGCTGCTGCTACGGTTGTTGTTGTTGTTGTTGTTGTTGTTGTTGTTGTTGTTGTCTGTCAAAATGATTGATACGTGTTGTAATATTAGCTACGACCGCTTTTCGGTGGCCCATTTTTATCAGTCTTTATACAACGTTGTGAACACGCTCCACATGATAATATTGGAAACATTAGATTCCTTAAGAAACCCTCCATTCTCACGATGCTACCTTCGTATGAGTTAAATATATTTTATAGTTTCTTTCTGTTCTTTTGTTTGTTTTATATCCTAATATTGGAGTTTTTCGCCTCCCCCAGCCCCCCCCCCCCAGCCTCCCCAAAATAGACACAATTTACATCACTTGACAATGGTGAAATTTTGACAATAGAGAGGTTACAAAAAAGCGAATGAGGCAGTAGAGGAGAAATAGACAGAAAAGGGGAGGGTTTAAAATATCTCATCTCATAAAAACTTTTGAAAATAGCGTTTACATTATGCTTTCTATATTTGCCATCATTATCATTTTCATATGTCATATGTAACCACAAAAAAACCCAAAAAATCAAACTACAAATGAAAGTACCATGAAATGGTAATCATAGGAGAGAAATGTTTTCTCCTACCTTTTTACCAAACAGCGGTGGAAAGAACAAGTAGTACTTCCAGTGGTGCACCCAAACCATCCGTCATTACTACTGCACATTTTTGTAAATTATCAATTTAATACTGTACCAGAAAGCTACATTGATTTATAACTTTTTAGCTTTATTAAAAAATAGAGAGTATGCATATTTACTTACTTGGTTGTTCAGCCTAGTGGTTTAGAGAAATGAAGCAATTGTCGTTTACTTCGCCCAGCATAGTATTCAAGACTAAAGTTCTGACTTTCCAGCTAACAATGAGAAGCGAAGTCATCTTTTTTTCAGCGCTTTTCGACTTCATCAGCGTGTATTTTTTTTAAAGAAACATTTTAATCCTTTAACCACTTTCCACACAACGTTTTTATATATCTCAGTTTATGTGGAGACGTTTGAGTGTTATTGGTTTTTACATTAATTAATATAGGCGCACCGATCAGATTATTTAGTAGACGTGCTGCTTCGACCCTGCCTGCCAGGGCCAACCCAGACTGAAAGGTACAACAAGTCCCAGCAGTGGTCAGATGATAATCGATTTTTTTAAAAATACGACCCACACGATAAAAAAGACGATCCTCACGATAAAAAATGAGACCCACACGATTAAAAAGTATTCCCCACACAAGGAAAAGTTACGTTTTCTGCGTGTGACGGCAATGAAAATACCCACCACACCACACACCCCTGTGATACGTTCAAAGAGACAAAAGAATTCAATATCAAAAGGAAAATATAATTTAACAAGCGCTGACTTCCTTATAGCAAGGTACCCTACCCGAGAAAGAAAGAAAGAAAGAAAGAGAGAAAGAAAGAAAGAAGAAAAGAAAGAAAGAAAGAAAGAAAGAAAGAAAGAAAGAAAGAAAGAAAGAAAGAAAAAAAGAAAGAAAGAAAGAGATAAAGAAAGTAAGAAAGAAAGAGAGAAAGAAAGAAAGAGAGAAAGAAAGAAAGAAGAAAAGAAAGAAAGAAAGAAAGAAAGAAAGAAAGAAAGAAAGAAAGAAAGAAAGAAAGAAAGAAAGAGAAAGAAAGTAAGAAAGAAAGAGAGAAAGAAAGAAAGAAGTACCATTTGCTTGTGGGAACTACAGGTTGTCTTGTTGACAGTTTCCTAACAGACCACCCTCCCCTCCCCTGTCCAACATTTACGTATCACAGTTAGTCGCAGTCAGAGGTTACGTGTTTACTCTTACCTTTGAGACGCAGCCTGTATTCTGGTTCCACCGCTGTTGTTGTTGTTGTCGTCGTCGTTGTCGGCGTTGTCGTTGGTCGGGCTGTGGTCGTCGTCGATGTTGTCGTGGACGTCGTAGCTAAGGTCTGAACCTGTGACGGCCCAGGCCGAGATGTAGGCGGAGTCTGAACCGGCCTCACGACTTGGTTACGCCCCCACAGTCCGTGACTGATGCTTCTATTTGCAGAAAAATGCGGTTCTGGAGTGGTCCGGGAGTTTTCCCGGCGGTTTTGTGCCCGGAGTTTGGCCTCCAGTATAAGACGTCTCAGCCGTTCTACATTCGCTCTTGAATCAGACTGTCTCTGTTTCGTCAGATCGTAAAGAGACACATTTTTGGGTGACCTTTCGTACGTGAAGAGAGTCTTATTCAGACTATAAGATGGTCTGAGTTGAAGCCTTTTACTCCAGTTCATCTTATCCTGTCCAGACCTGAATCTTTGTCTACTCTGATTGTTAGATTGGGTCTTTGACGTTCTGCTTCGGGGACTGGTAGATTTGCTGCGATTAGTTTCCTCTCGAGTCTTATAACTACTAGGCCTTTTCGGTGACAGCCCTCGAGATATCTCTTTCGTATTCTGGCCATTATTTGAGTTTACCCGACCCCTATTATTCTGGCCATTATTTGAGTTTACCCGGCCCCTACTATTGCGTCCCCAGGGCGTTACATAAATCACATCTTCTTGGTTCGTGCCAGTTTTGCGATGAAGATTTCCAAATGCACCATGTCGTCTAGGGGCGTTTGTCGATAAAAGAGACGATGACGTTTTATTCTCAAAGCGCGGAGAATGAATCCGAGATTTATACCCTAATGTCCTATTAAAGGTCGGATACGACCTATTATGACCATATTTTCTCATGTTCTGCCTGTTACTGCCTGTGACTCTCGTATTAGAATGTTGCACCCTTCGCTCGTTTTTCTTGGTTTGTTGTTCAAAGGTATTCCTTCTCTGGGATAGGCCAAAGCGCCTGGAATCAGTTCTGTTTTGTTTCTGTTTGTGAGACAAAGGCAAACCACGATTTCTCTTATTTTCGTTAAATCTTCTGTGTCCAGAATGAATAGATGGACGCTGCATCCTACTTCGATTGTAACCAAACCATCTGTTCGGTGGTGCGGTCGGATTAGATTGCGAAAGAAGGCGCTGACGTTTCAATTGCAGTGTTCTCGATCTTTGGTAACTTCTCGTCATATGTGGCCTGCTGTGGCTATTTCTTTGCCTTGACTTCGTATCGCTCCTACCTATAACTTTTGTTCCACTTGGTGTTCGGAGATTTAAGCTTCTCAAGAAATGTTCCAACCGTACCGGATTAGACACAGCTTCCATCTTGACTGTCGGTACTACGCGAGATTGCCGGCTTTGAGTCGGGACGACTTGTTTGCTGTGAGTTTTTGGAATAAGAGTTGAGCTCGGCAGTTTTCCAAATCGAGGGCTGGTTCTTGTAATAGAGGTTCGGGGTCTTGACGTCCTCGGCACATGTGAATGGCGTGTGGTTTTGATGTGAGACGTTTGTAGCCCAGTGTGTGATCGCTTGGTAGTCTGAAGAGTCGTTCTCGGTTTGGAGTGTACTTGGTGATAGGAAACTTTAGTAATTGAAGTTGACGGAAAACGCGTAGTTGTTGTCTTTTTAATTGATTTATAATTATGGGTCAGCTTGGTCCTTTTTAGGGTGGTTTTATCCAGTCCATGAAATGGATACCGTGTTGTGGTGGATAAATGTCTACCTCTTGTGGGAAGCCTGTCGATTGTATGATGTCTGGTGCTAACGTCAAGGTTGTTTGATCGACTCTGGGTTGTTTGAGGATGCCGACTTGTCGTTATATGGTTGGTGGATATGCTTTTTTTGCCGGTCGTTTTGAGACTATGGTCAGGGACGTGTGGTCTAGGGGTAAGTGTGTATCTGGGACTAGAAGTTGATGGAATTTTCCGTGTCAACGGTTTGCCTCCAATAATTTTGCTTCTACTTTTAGAAGTTTCGTAACGAGTGGTAAGATAACGTGGTGCGTGAGAACTTGTAATCGTCCTTGTTTTAAGCAACGATTTTTGATCGAACAGTTCTGTTTTGGTCTCTGGTGTTGCCACAGGACGCTTCGATTTGGTGCTGCTTCCTCGTCCTTGTTTTATTTTTTTCTTTTGCTCAAAGCTCAAGTTCCCTCCGTACCTCAGATATGGGAGTACTCCCTCCGGTTGATCAAAGTAACTCGGAAACGTAAAGTCTTCTTCATTTATAGGAGATGATGTGGTAACTAATTTCTTTACATCGTTGATATTTTGAGGAATCTGCTGAAGGTTGTCAGTGTTCTTGATCATGGGATGCACTTGAACGTCAAATTCTCCCTCGTTTTTCATCTTTAGTTTCGGATTCCCAACACCATCTGCGTATTTGTATCTCTGGAATTGGCCTGGGCGAATGGTGCTACTCCATCTTTTGAACGGTGTTGTTCTGGTGTTGTCAATCTTCAGGCCATTGTTCACGTAGAAAGGAGACGGTGTGCTTCTTGAACGAGATAATCTCAAGGTTTCTAGGATCCTGGATGAATAAGATTCATTTCTAAATAAATTGTTTGATTCTAAATCGCCTTCGTTATCAGACCCAAAGAAGGGGAAATGTCTTAGTTGTATTTTTCTCTGGCTGTCAAGTTTTAAGAAATTGCTGCCCGTGTCGTTCATTTTGTTATAAAAAGGAAGGTCTGCATCATTTTCCACACTGGGCGGAATCATTAGCCCAGGTTGTTTCGGAAGTGAGTGATACCATCTGCCTTTAGAAAAGTCTAACATCTCACCCTGTGGCTGCGAGCTATTATTAGAGATCGTTGTCAGGCCTTCAGATGCTGAACAGTCATCAAACTTTGAGTTTTTCCACACGCAAACTTTGTGTTTGAGAGAAAACACAGTGCGTTCCTTCGTGCACGCCATTTGCCAGACCCGCGTTCCGAAGCATGTGTAGAAAATGGCGCAGTTGCCAGGGTGACGTGTGTAGATATGAGCTCCTCGGGTGTCAGTACCAGGACATGGTGAGTTCTCTGCCTCCAGGCTTGTCATTTCGTACCCGGACGCCCCAAATGCTGAAGTTGATTTAACCATTATGGATACTATCACTAAAAGAATTTGAACAAGAGATGACCATCCTATAGGTTGTCCTCCTCTTTTGGTCTCTCTTTTGTTTTCATAAAAGACGTCAGTTCTTTGTTTCCTGGTCTGAAACATGACAGTTTTTACATCTTTCAAGTTCCAAAAGGCAGCATTATTTTTATTCTTCTTCCTCTTTTCTACTACTGTCCTTTTATCCTCCTCTCTCTTAACAGGAACATTTGTCCTATCCAACAGGATCTGTACAGAAACACCTTTCAAATCATTCTTTCCGTGGCCATCAGCGTCCAAATGCTCTTTCACTAAGCTCTGACTATTCCTCTGTTGAGTGACCGATGTCGTACCCACTGATTTTATTACATTAGGGTTCTGGTTGTTTTCCTTGTTATCACAGTTATCAAAGTGGAGAGGGATTAGACTGAAGAAATGCTGAACCGTGTTTTCTTTTTCTACAAGACACTCATTCCAAGTCGTAGAAAACGAAGTCTGACAGTCATTTGGCAATTTTTCTTTTAAAAGCCTAACGTTTATGCTTTCCATGGGTTCTACTATAGAATCTGATTCTGAAAACCCCATATCGGCCTCACTGTAGGAATTGAAGTTCATGAGCTCTTCTAATATGTCCACATCAGAACATCGTTGTCCTTCAGATTGTTTATCACATGCTCGCTTGGCCTCCTTGATTCGAGGTTGGGTTACCTCCATGTCACTCGGAAGCAAAGACAATCTGTTTTTGACAGCACTCGGTACTGGTGGCCACAGAGTGGAGGGTACTTCGAACATTTTAAAATTCGAAAACACTGTTTGTCTCAAAGTACTGTCATCGGTTAATAGTTTTGAAGGCAATTTTTAGGAACATATATTATGAATAATTTGCAAACTAAGGGGACTTCTTTTTATCTTCCAATATGAGTGACCTCCTGCTGAAAACACAGTCCTCAGTTGAAATCTGGTTGACGGCTGAAGACGTGTAGTTGATGTGAATACTGCTTTCGGTCTCACTGCTGGGAAAATAAAAAAAAGGAAATGGATAAGATTCAGGGTGGATAAAACATAATATTGAAAGTCTACTTTTCGACAATGTAGTATTAATGGAGAGGAGGGGGAGGGCTGACTCAAAGGGAAAAAGTAAACGCAATAGAAAAGGCGACC